ACAGTTTTATCAGTTGGTTACCATATTGGTTTTTCACTGTTAGATCTTGTGTTGTTCTTTCTCTGTATGGGTTTTTAGTATTTCCAGACTGCTGGTAAATAGGGTTGTCGAAAGATGCCATATCTTTTTCATTTTTTATACGTGCATTAAAGTCTCCCGTAAGAATTACTGAACCAAATTGAGAATATCTTGTGATATCATTTTCCAGTAGTTCAAATAGGTTAGAATTTTTCCAACGAAAAATGCTGGATGACTGAGGACTCAAGTATAATGCACACAGAAATATATCTTCATCTAGTTGAAAGAATTCTTTATCTAGGCGAGCCCAGATAAAGTCATCACTGCTACTTGCCATTTGTTTTACACCCTGTTTATACAAGTTTTTAAAATACGTAACAATCCCACCAGAGTTGGTACGAGCATTTTTATGTTTTTCCCTCCTAAAGGAATGAAAGTGGCAATAGTTGGGGATTTTAATCTTTGAACCAAAATCAGTTTTGGTTTCAACTAAACTAACAAAATCAAAATCACTAATACTATTCAAAAAATCTACGTCATTAATTTTCTGGACTAGACATTCATAAATATTCCAAGTCGAAAATTTTAAACTGGACTTCATTGTGGAATGGCAGATAAAAAAATTGAAAAAGAGAAGAAAAAAAAAACAGTAAGTAAGAGCTGATAAAAAGTGTTAAATACACTATTCTAGGTCAAATGTAAATATGTAAAAGTTACCTATTTCAGTGTAACATGCAGACAACTGGATTCAATTGTGGATAATGTTCATAATGCTGGTGAGTAAGTTCTCTATATGTTTATTTCTAGAGTTTCTTTGGTTACTTTTATAGTGTTTGTTGTCTTGTCTATATACCTGGCGTTGAGTGTTTTTTACTCTGAGATCTGGATCTTGCATTGAGTGAGTGTTGGATGGCTTGCCTCCAGGTTGCGAAGTTATGGTTCTGTATACATATCGTTTTATATTGCTTGCAATGAATCTGGTTCCTCTGTGGTTGGGGTGTACTTTGTCTTCAAATAGATATGTTTTGATGTAATTTTTGTTGTCAAGAACGTTATACGTATAAAAGATACGCATGCTGTATGTCCTTTGACATTTACTGCGACACCGTAAAACAAGACCTTGGAATGTGTACTGTGCGCAGCAACGTTTGAGAGTAAATGACGCGTCGGCGACGATCCTGGGGTGAAAGGACGATAAGACTAAGGGAATTATGAGATTAAACTTGTCTAAAACAAAAGAAGTTTAGGAAGATTAGTTTGGCTGTGACTCCTTCTCTTTTTTCCTCCACGGTCAGACCATGGAAAGTATTAACTAACCTCCCATGGCCAGACACAGTCCCTCTATGATAGAGGGACTGTGGTCAGCTAACTTGCACGTGGTCTCAAATACGCTACACGTGTCCCAAAGCACTTGCGACAAACAAAAAAGTCATGGGCGATTATAGTGACATTCAAAAATGACCTCGTTGAACATTTACTTTACTTTCCTTCAGATTATTTACCAGGTAATTCAACAAGCCATAAAAGAAAGCACTTGATAGTGCCGCGCCTCCAACGACGATAAGCCGTAACAATGCAACAATGGCATTTACAATGTTTCTTAGAAAGTCTGCGTCAGTGTGTACTCCTTATATGGTCAGAATTCTTGACTCATCGTTGTTTTCCGTGCCTTGCACTTCAGATTCCCCTAGTAAAAACTAACCCCCTCTTAATCTGGTAATTTAGTTTACACCAGTTCATGCAGAAGTGGTATCACCATTCCTCCCAATTCAAGTAAAGATGCCATGCGGTGGTCGTCGCGTCATGTCCGGTTAAAGGGGAACCGCTCAATCCCATGGATTGCACCAGAGAATCATGGGACACTATTGTTTATGTTGTTTACAATGTTAATCTATCTTTTGTTATCCATTGTTATTTTAATCCAGAAAGTAAATTTGTTGCGAGATTAGGCTTAACTGGAAGGTACTATGCAAAGCATACAACGGGCTCAAAATAAATCGTTATATTTATATATTACACAAAAGTCGAAAAATAAATCAGAATATTGGCTGACAGGTCAAGCGAGGAAACTAACTGTGAATGGCGAGGCATACAACCACGAAATGAGGTCGCTGATCAAGACGACTGGGATGTTATTTTATATGCTTCGTGTAAACAACATTTAGCGTGAGTGAAGAGGAAACAAAAAAAGCATATGCACGGACAAGTGTAAAATAATGTAAAAAACACAAACAAAACAAAAACAACATATCAATAAAGCATTTGCACAACCCCGCTCCCTAGAGATAAAATGAGTGCCCCCAGGTACCCCATGACTAGTGATACGAAATACCTCGCGTGACAATTCTAATCACCACTACACATAATAACTCAGCGAGTATATGAGTAGTGTTAGGCTGTTGCCAAGGCTGTATTTGAATATTATAGACACAACTGGCCTTTGTTGTAATAGACTTGTATACATTTACTTGCTTAAAAAAGCTTTAAGTTTTTTTTCAAGTAAATAAAATATTATCTACATAAATGACGAATACCAGATTACCGAGAATACCGAGTTATTTTATTTTATTTTATTGAAAAACATCAGAAAACAACTTTGAAGCAAGAGACTGCATGCAATTCTATTTGTCGAAACAGAACAATAGATGAATTGTGACCGTTTACAAGTAAGTCTGCGTCATTCCCTGTCTGTTCATTGGCGTACAAAGGACACGATGTACCGGGTTTGTAAGCCCATGTCTAGATCAAATAGCATTTCGCACTAGTGCTTCTCATACTCAGCATTCGCTCTGTGTCGATTTTAACACCCTTACATACCTCCAAATTCCCACGAATTCTTGAGACATCGTTATTTCCCTGCCTTAACTTAAATTTAAGGTGGTAACCGTGTTCGATTTATAGTATGGGGTTTATGCGTAAAATCGTCTCGTTTATATCTTACACGAAAGTCCAATGCGTGTTGCACGACGCCCCGAACAACCGCCTTTATGGGATTTGATACCACAAATATATACCTGTATGCACGAGAAGTTGTCTCAATAAGTTCGATCTGGCGAATTATGATTAATCTTGTCTGCCAAAATGGCCACCAACTATATTTTTTCTATTATAACAGAACAGATTGTGTTGCAACAGTCACCGTGTATTGTTATTCGCGTCAACATATTGTTGCGTGTTGGGGATCATTGTCTGTGGGAGTCGTAGTGACAGAATTAAAAAAAAAGTGAAATCACACTCACCTTACGATAATGTTAAATATGCGGAGGGAGAATGGCACAACTTGACCGTCACGTTGATTGATAAAGTTCTGAACTAGTCACGGTGACGCCGAGAGAAACCAGGTATACATGGATCAATAAGAGTGATTGAACAATGTCACGTGGTTCATGTACGTGTCATGAATCTTAATATTCCAGGAATCCATAAAACCTCGTCAACAATTACTCATCGACCTCGCATAGTACATTTACACAGTTACCTACATACAAAACCCAACCCCGGGCCAGTTTTTCAAGTGCTAACAGTACTTAGTTGACCTTTCCCTGGCGACGCTATACCCACAACTGAGTAGAGGGGTATCACGAGTCTTTAAAAAAGTACAATTTTTATACCAAAGTACAATTTTTGCAACCATATTTATACCAAATAAAGACGAACATTCCATGTGTTAAACTACAACGTTTTAGTACGCATGCGCAAAACCAGCATACAGTTATTAAAAGCTTTGCGTCCACACGCCCGGGCTACATGAAAGACGTGGCTAGGTGTGATTAAAAAAATAATGATATTTATTTTAACGAAAATAAGTAATTTTTATACAGTGTACGAGGGTTCCTGTTGATATATACCGGTTTTCTATTAAAATAACACGATTTTACCGCGCAGTGCCAATTTCTTTTGTGCTCACTGACTCATTCTTACGCTGAATTCGTGACACCCTCGTTTCGGGAAACGTGTCGTATATATTCCAGTTATTTCGAAAACATACAGGTCACTGAAGCTGAGCGATAATCTGCCGGTTTAAGTACAAGACAATGGAATTTACTTAAGGTATAGATGCAGGTTTGTGGGCACTTGGGAGTGAATTTTCTTTTTTGAACGGTAATTCTTATACATAAGCATACAGTTGAATACGACAACGATACAAATCATATTTGAAACAGTCGGTGTATCGTTTTCCTATTTCTTCGTGGCTTGAAATTGATCTCTTCCCGCATTTCTCAGGCGTAGTTGTTATTACCTGGTTCTCGTATCCAACACTGCAGAAGGCCTACAAAATTGCCTTAATAAATTACTGCACTGAATGGAATGTCACTGTAAATACAAAGAAAACAAAGATTATGATTTTCAATAAAGGTAATCGTTTATTGAAAAATATTTTTTTAAATAAATAATCAAAATATAAATTCAGTGAAAGAATTCAGTTACCTTGGGGTAATTTTCACCCCAATCGAAAATTTAAGCCCAACAACCAAATGTTAAAAAATAAAGCCATGAAAGCATTATTTACAATAAGAAACGCTATACTAAGTAATACAATTATATCACCAACTATATGTATATGTATCAAAATGTTTGAATACATGTAACTTATATCGCCAATTTTAATGTACAGTTCTGAAATATGGGTCTATGAATTAATAAATGACAACAATGTCTTGGAACAGGTTTGTAGCTCATTTTATCGTTTTATTCTTGCGTTAATAAAATGACACCCACAATAGGTATAAGGGGTGAACTTGGCAGGTTTCCCATCAAAATTAAAGCAGATATTGCCACAACAAAACACTGGCACAGATTGAAATCTCTACCAGAAAATCACATCCTTCAAGATGCATTAAAAGAATCAGAAAAAAATAACACAAACTGAATTAAATATGTAAAAAATATTCTTGATGAATGTGAACTTGGAAATGATGAAGAAACCTACAATGGTAAAAATAGAAAAAAAACAACAACAAAGGAATTACAATCACAGCTGACAGATACATATAAACAGACATGGAAAAATTAAATTAGAAATACCAAAGGCACAACTGGACAAGGTAACAAATTAAGATCATATAGTATTTTTGAAAAAAAGAATTTGAAATGGAAAATTACTTAAAAATAATTAAGTTTGAGCGATCACAATTTAGGAATTGAATTAGGCAGAAGAACAACGCCAAAAACACAACTGGAGAAGAGAATATGTACAAGGAGTAATGACAATGAGATATGTGATGAAAAACACCTTATTTTGAAATGCACACACTTCAATAAAAAGAGGGAGATATTATTCCGAGAGTGCAACGAAGACATTAAAAATACAAATAATAACACATACATCTTCTCTAAAATCAACAGTGAAAATAACAGTATACCTCTATAAAAAAAATTTAAAAAGCACAATATTTAAGCCAAAATAATGAATCACTTCACCTTTGGGAGGGGGCTCGTAGGACTAAATTACTAGTACTTCATTTAAATCAGTTTTTGTTTTAATTGTATTCATTCTAGTAATTATTTTTAACATTTATTTTTTAACTCAGTCTTTATTTTATTCTTATTTTTATTATTGTATTTTCTATTACTGTATTGTATTGTATTGTATTTAGAATTGTCCTAGTCTTGTAATACTTTTTTTATTTACCATACTGAACCCGCTGATGGTTCGGTAGTGTAATAAAGTTATTATTATTATTATTATTATTATTATTATTATTATTATTATTATTATTATTATTATTATTATTATTATTATTATTATTGCGGAGCTGCGGCCATGAAAATTTACCTTCGTAGAGCTGGATGTTTGGGCGGGTACAGGATGTCTGTAATGGGTAATGCCCGTTTCATGTTTGCTCGTGCATAGACCAGCAGTGAATAGATGATTTCCCGTTCACTGCGAGATCTCGTGTATTGCGTGAAAGGTTCGTACGTGCGAAAGTCGATTTTGAATTTGTTCTTGTCTTCTATAGCTCAAAGTCGAAATACCGACCGAGAGGGGAATATTGCGTTGAGATACGCTTATTTTATCAAAATTGATCAAATGCACATTATTGAGCGTGAAAATACCCCATGATATTTTAAATCCCACGCAATTTTTTTACATCATTACGACGCTATGGCCTCTGTTTGTACGTTCGATTTCACGCATAACGCGGGATCTCGCAGTAAACGAAAAATGGTAAATCTGCCAGACAGGAAGTAAAACAAGCTATATTGACCCACATTTCGTGATAAGCATCGAATAGAAAATAAAACATCTAAATAACATCTTCGCATTTCATTTTCTCTATTACATTGCGCTTAGTACTCCAAACAGTAACGCAGCGGTCACAGTAACTATGATCATTCTGTTTCTATAGTTACCGTTGCAATGTTGCAATGGTCTGTAGAGCAGCGTTCTTTCTAGATGATATTTCCAAACGAAAATAGAACAAAACCAATAATTGAAACTTATTGTCTTATGGTACATTCTACCGTTCTGTTAATCTAATTACTAAAATCGGTGAGGGCGTAGTGTTCTCGATGTTCATGGTCTATTATCTGATTCTGACTATGAAGTATTACGGTAGCTAGTATCTTTTAACTCAAAAAATAACTCATTTATGAAAAAAATGCAATAAAAAACGGCTCAGCGTGTACCCTTTGCGGAAATATTTTGCATGGCTGCCTCGTACATGATTTCACATTAGCATAAGCACAGTCCAGAGGGGCTGGCATAAGTATTACACCGGAAGACTCGTCACCTGCGCACGCACGGGATTTGAGTCCTTGACGTAGCCTGGTTCCACCACTAGAGGTCGACGATAGCGACCTCTAGAGGCGGGAACCAGACTATCCTTGGCGACGATAACAACATACTCGTACCCTAAAAAACGCAAAGGCTCATGGGTAGACGCTTATTTGTAAACAACGACAAGCTATGGCTGTCTGCGTAGATGAAGACTCTCCCGCTTTACACTACCTTATCTTTCTATTTACTGCTCCTCCTACTTTAAGAAGAAGATACCATGGCCACTGCCTTTGCCTTTCAATGGTCTTTGTTCACGTTTTTTTTTTGTAATTTATTATATTCAAAAAGCATCTGTTGAAAAGGTTGCACAACGTACATTTAAAATTGGCGTGAAAAGCTTATCAAAAATACTGAGTAATGAGATCGCTCGATAGTTTCAAGGACTATAATATTGTGCACCCTTTGCGGATAAGTACTACGCATGGGCACTGTAATGGTATTTATAAGTGTCAAAAATCATCTTAAAAAATGAGCATAAATAAGCCAAGAATACCTGAAAAAATATCTGCATTCAGACCATCTGGCCATGTAAATTTACCGCAATTTTGGACGCTTTATTTAGGCAATCTTATGTCGTACATAATAGTTTAGTAGGCGAACTAGCAGAAGACTGAAACTCTCATATCAACGTTAGATATACCCATGTATCCAATGAGATTAAGAGTACCGAGTCACGTGATAATACGTCATGTAATGACAAGGGTGTTGATAGTGGATGGGCGTGCACTTCAGTATATCATTCATCGAACCGAGTGGGACATTACATAGCACTCACGTTTTTGGATAATTTTCACCCGAATTCACCGGATTTTATTTTTTTCTTTCCATGCGACATTAACAGTAAGTAATTTTTTAGTTGGATAAAGAATTATTTTATTCTGTAACTGAGCAAATCTTGTTAAAATTCCCGATATCCATCCAACCATTTCATTATGTTCGCCATGCCTGCTATATGTTATATTTTAAGACGGAATGTTTAAGCTGGTCTTTTTATGGGCCATTTTAATATTTATTCGACGAATTTATGTGTATATCTTGTAGCTTGAAATGTCCTCGTGCACGATGAAATCCCAAACTAACATTAAAATACAATGAGTAATGTTGTTATATAATCCACTCGAATTTTTTGAGAGAAAATGACGAATATACGAAAGACAGCTTTAAATTCGGTCTTTGGGAGAGTTTTTCTGGCAGTTAACATTTTTGCTCTAATTCAACAACGTCGGGTACCCACAGCCGTTGCACGAAACGTCAACATTAGCAGCAATTATAAACAGAGCTCTGCAAGCAGAATGCAAATCAAAATAAACTGCATAGAATTTCTTCTATCATTTATCAATATTTTGACGTTTTATAGCGAGACTACTGATATACGTATGTGGGCCGTGAGTTGCTTAAAATACTTCAGACAAAATAAGGCAAAACATCTTTAATTGTGATTTTTTTACTGTTTTCGTAAGAAAAAATGTTCCCAACACGCCGGAGCCAGAGTGCAAAGTCGTCTGTGCGAATCTAATTATACAGTCTAAATAACGATATGATGTCTACATAAATATAGAATATGACCCGTACAGTGAGCCCTG